GTAGGCAGGTAGGTAGGGAGGGAGGTAGGTAGGTAGGTAGGTAGGTAGGGAGGTAGGTAGGTAGGTAGGTAGGTAGGTAGGTAGGCAGGCAGGTAGGTAGGTAGGTAGGTAGGTAGGTAGGTAGGTGGATATCCACGTATATATAGTAAAGTCAGTGCTCGCTCTTTGTAGGATGTAGAATGCAGCTCCGATTCTCCAGGTATTGGGCAAAACTTAGGTGACTCCGGAAAGAAAGCCTGACCTTCGAAATGTGTTACTCCCTAAACCCTAAACCCTAAACCCTAAACCCTAAACTACTCTAAGAGTCCTTGAATCGAAGCTTTCTTGCTGTAGAGCTTTTGGGCTCTAAGGGTCGACGGGATTAGCGTGTTGAGGGTTTGGGGTTTAGGCTTCAAAGTTTAAGGTTGCTTTGGGGTTTGGGGTTTAGGGTTTAGGGACGTGTACTTTATGTTTAGGGTTTAGGGTTCACTGCCTGACGTGCTTGACATCTGGTTTGGGGTTCAAGTTCAAGATGTACAGGTTGCGGTTTGGGATTTGGGACAAATGACGATCTCGGTAACTACTGGGAGCCTTTCGAAAGGCCTAGGGCCCAGTGAACACTTCGGAGTGTTATCCGCAGCGGCCCCCCAAAACAACACCACTCATCATCATGATCATCATCACCCTAAACCCTAAACACCGGTCAGGAGGTCCAATAGAGCTTTGGGTTTTTTTAAGCGTTAGGGTTTAGGGTTCAGGGTTTGGCCAAGGCTCAAGCATTTTTCATGCAGGCTTGCTAGTTGCAAATGTGGCTTTGACCGGATGGACGAACGGCTTGAAGAGTTGGCTGTGTCGTGCACGGGGTTTGCGGTCTGGAATAACTGCGATAATTCCCATAAATGCAAATCCTTGAGCACCCTCTAAACCCTAAACCCTAAACCCTAATGTATGTAGCAACCGACTCCAGGCTCCTAAATCCTAATCGCTTGAAGATGGACTCCTAAACCGAGGGGGATGCAGTGCTTTTGCTGCCTGGTACTCCCACTCCCTGATCTTAAGAGCGAGTCCTCAACCCCAAGGACATGAACATCAATTGAAGGGGATCGGGTTTAGGGTTTAGGGTGTAGGTGCTATCAACTTTCAACAGGGCCGTGGGTGTATATATTGTACGATAATGCTATAGGGCAGCAGGAAATACGGCAAAGATGGGCAAAGGGTTACTGTTGCATATTTAGTCAAAGCCCCTATAAGACCTATCGTGCAGCCTTCAACCCAAAACCCCGACAGTACGAACTACTCCTTAAACGTCATGAAGCCGCATAAACCTTTTAAGCCTCAAACAGACCTTGGATACTCAACCCCTACAAGAGCCCAGTAATACCCTTGTCCTGTTAAAACGGGATAGCCCATGTGGCACATGTAATACGGCCTTACTCCCCCGGCTCCTAACGCAAGCCTCATCCGGGCTACTGGCGCTGAAGCCGCTCATGACCTCAGCATAGGGTTTAGGGTAGAATGTCATGGTTCTAGAGGCCTTGCGGGTATCTGACTTTGGGCGCACTTGGCGCTGTGGGTGGAACCCTGAACCCTAAACCCATCTTGGATGCTTGCAGCTTTTTGGCGTGACAGGGTTTAGTTACCCA